TTCAAAAAAGGGATGAAAGTGGATCCAGCAAACTACAGACCCATCAGCCTGACCTCTTTCCTGGGTAAGGTCTTGGAAAAGATTATCAAAGAGGCCACCCTATACAGGGTAGCTGACAGAAATATCCTGAGGGATACCCAGCACAGGTTTGTTGCAGGTAGGTCTTGCTTGACCAATCTCATTTCCTTTTATGACCAGGTGACCTATCACCTGGACAAGGGGGAAGAGATTGATGTTGTATATCTTGACTTTAAAAAGGCCTCCGATCTGGTATCCCATGATCACCTCTTGGCAAAACTGGCTAACTGTGGCCTCGACCTCACCACAATCTGCTGGCTGGGGAATTGGCTCCATGGCAGGACCCAGAGGGTGGTGGTTGACAGAAGTCAATCGTCGTGGTGCCCTGTGACCAGTGGGGTCCCTCAAGGCTCTGTCCTAGGGCCTTTACTTTTTAATATCTTCATCAATGATATAGACATTGGTGTCAGAAGCAGGCTGGCCAAGTTCGCTGATGACACCAAACTCTGGGGTAAAGCATCCACACCTGAGGACAGGAGCGTGATCCAGGCAGATCTTGACAGGCTCATAAAATGGGTGAATGAGAACCTGATGGTATTTAACACCAAAAAATGCAAGGTTCTCCACCTTGGGAGGAAAAACCTGCAGCATCCTTATAGGCTCGGCAGTGCTACGCTGGTTAGTACTACAGATGAAAGGGACTTGGGGGTCATGATCCCTGCTGACTTCCTGCCCCTGGGCAGGGAGCTGGTCTCGATGACCTCCGGGGTCGCTTCCAGCCCGAATGTCTATAAAATCAAAAATGACTTTGAATATAAGATGACCCTACAAAAACTAGATTCTACATATGGAAAATGTATAAATTTACTCTAATTTTCCAGGTATAGTATCTAATAATTAGAGCATTTGTCCCCCTCCCATTGCTACAGCAGAGAAAATAGATCTGGGGGCCCCCCATACTGACCTTATACTCTACTCCCCAACTTCTTCCCCCTGAAAGCCCTCCCCAGCCCTCAGGGGCTTTTGCACCTTACACTGTGAGCCAATATTGATAGGTGTTAGTACTAGTTCAAGTTTGGAGAAGTCACACTGCAGGCCAGCAGAGACCTGAAAGACTTAGAGGTAAGATCCCCCACCTCCCATTCCAGGCTTCCCTCCTGCCTCCCATGACTCCCCACCCTCTGCCTCCCCCTGCCCCTGGGGCATTACTCACTTGTGGCTGCCTCTGTTGTCTTTCCCAAGGGACCAGGCAGAGAAGAGTTAAACTGCCTCCCACCCACACTGTTCCTGGGCTGCTGTTCTTCTGACTTAACAAGCAGTTCAGCTCTTCCCCTGCCTGCTCCCCGGACTGAGTGAGGGCCGCTACAAGTTAGTATGGCCACACTTTACTGTAATAGGAGCTGGGTGGCACGGATAACTCTGAACTGCATAACATATGCTTAAACCAGTTTCAGGTGTTAATCCAGGTGTTAAGAGTTGCAGAAGCCACTCAAAATTACCATGTAACAAGGCCCTTAGACCCTGCTCTCCCTGACCAGCACACATTGAAATGAGGGGCGAGTTTGAAAACACCGACTTTGTAATAAACAGGCCTGTCGTAATTTAGTTAATCCAGAATTGATGCATTTTATCTGTTTTGAAACTGCTGCAACTGTTAGCATAGGTACTCCACAAACACATCTTTAAGAGCACTTTTGTACCTACTAGTATTACCATATTTCCAGGTCCAAAAAAGAAGACACTTGTCATGCAGGCGGGGGGGGGGGGG